GACATGAAGACTAACATATTCCGAGAGGGAAGGTCAGAATTTGAGGTCACGCTTAGCTGGGGCCACACGAGCGCACAAAATGCGTCCGTTGTAACGAGCGTCGTGACGTACGTTGTAGAAATAAACAAGAGAGGCGAATGCTACGCTTTCTTCTGGCTCCACTGCAGACAAAAAACTATGCACCGCATTCTGCAACTGTGTGATGTTCTCAGCAACGTCCGTCATAAAGTACATTCGTTACAACGGACGCATTTTGTGCGCTCGTGTGTCCCCAGCCAACCTGAACGAAGAAACGTGCGTCAAGATTATGTCTTTCTTTATGCCGACAATGTAGACTTAACTATATATATATATATATATATTCCCTCCTAGTTAGCATATCTTAATGTGATTACCTGTATCTACACTGTGCTGTTGGCCTTGTAGCTGTTGACTCGGAACTAGCGGCGGCCCGTGTATAGGCACCGCGGAACTGCAGCACCCCCCCCTCCCCAATTTCCACATGATATTATCGATAACATTTATATAATGAGTCCTTTTTTCTTTAATTCTTTCTTTATACTTGTACAATACAATATATAATCCTTAAGCTTAATGTCAGTAGCCAAATCTTTGTATGGAACTGTGCGCTTCTGGAGCAGCACCCCCACTAATTTTAGCTACGAGCCGCCACTGCTTGGCACAGAAATAGCGACGAATTGAACTGCATTGTTGCCGGCTCGAATACTGAGAATAAATTAATTAAAATAAGTGTATACCCCATTCGGTATACATCATCTGCGGGGATACGTTTCCCAGGAGAGTTCATTTCCTAGCAGGATTTACTGTGAGTTTACTAATGGTATCAAGCATTCGAGTACACCACAGACGATGGTATTGTTCTGTTACTGAATACCCTTCAAATTAACAGGAGGCATATACTGTTAGAATTTACTGAGAAATGTATTATGCTATTTACGGAAATGTGAATTCAGGCAGTTGCATGGTACCTACACACACCTGTCAAGTTCCCACTTTCGCAATCCTGTTGGTTTCAGGATTTTACTGAACTGTTATAAATGAATATCTTATACCAGCTTGTTCTGGAAATGAAATAAACTTTTCAGATCCTCATAAACGAATTCACTGTCCATGATGAATATTAATTACTCTTCCCATGTCGGCACTGAAATACTTTAAGACGTGACACGTTGAAACGAAACTGTTCACTCGTTGCTGACATACTGAATAACTTCTGCTCATACAGCGAATTAACTCCGGACAGTGTGTCTTTATTGTAACTCAAATTTATGTAATTTCAGAGCTTTCACTCCAGTCAAGAGCAGAAAATTGCTGCTGGCCCTCACCACACAGTGATTTTTGGTTTAGGACCATGTCTGAACCCATGACCTAACTTAGGTTCGTTGCAACACTGTTTATGTGTTTGGAAATGGGGTCTCCTTTTCGGCGAGAGGGCTTTCACTCCCTGTTACCCAACATTTTACGTAGGAGATTGTTGTTATTGCTATTGTTGTTGTGTTAGTTGCAGTATTGGATGAAGAGTTCATGTTGTGAAGCTCTGGAATATGTAACGATCTCATTTTCTCTGTCCACATATCCCAGATTAATATATTCAGAAACATGGCCTCCCTTCCTTCCTCAGAACCATATGCTTACTCGTCAGTATAAGTAAGAGAAGGACAAAATATATACATTAACATGGAATCATTTAGGACCAGAGGAGAAGGAAAGGTATATGTAATGTAACTGTTCCCTCCCTAACTTAGTTAACGTGGAGGGATTAGGTTCAGAGATTGTCCTCTGGCCAGTCGGTGATTATGAATATGAATATGGGATTGGCGAGCAGCGTATACAGCGGAATCAAGGTGGGAAAGTGAAGCGTATACGATTAATAAATTACGGATAAGTCACACTCAGAATGAGTCACAGTTTGTTGTTAGTGTATGCTTGTGTGAATATTAAAAGGAAAACCGCTGTATCAGTTATTCATACTCCACGTCTATGAGGTTATTACGAAACTGTAAAAAAAACTCCGTGACCTATAGTCCGCAAGCGAGCTATACCGATCGAGCTACCGACTCTTGTCGGCGAAGTTAGTGCCAAATTTATCGGATAGAGGGTGTCGCGTGTTCAGCGCAAAGAATCCTCACGGCCGTTAATTTCGGTTTTATAGACCGGAACCGCTATTTCCTTGAAATAGCTCCTCAGTTATCCTCATGAGGCTGAGTGGACCAAATTCCAGACTCACTACTTCTCAGAAAATCTGGTAGCGTTACGCAACTGTAACCGCTTAAAATTATAGGCATATTTAATTGTTTGTCTAATTTTGTTATCAGTTGGGCTTGATGTAATCGGTACGTCGCTGAGCTAGGAATTCTTTTGTTGGGTTTGAAGTAAGAAATCTGAGCATAAGGCACAACGCGGTCTAGTTCTTCGTAGAATCTGTCGTTCGTATCACCAATTTTATCCTCTGTTTTCGCATGAACATTTAGAACAGTAATATAAGGCCAGCGACCTCTCAGTATTATGTACGACATCCTATCACTAACACACGCTACCTTCTTAACTGCTGATATGACTAACCTGTACCTAATTCATGATTCTCGTTCCCTTTTCCATGGGAGAAATATAGTATATTCGCCTCCTGGTTCGGCGACACGTCTGTCCCATCTGACCTCCCGTACTCCCACTAAATCTCAGTTACACACCTATTTCTGAAAGTGTGTATGCTTATAGCTTCCAGTTTTTTTTTATTGTTAGTAGGGTGGGACTAAGTCCCTTGTACTGCGGCCACTTCTGGCCTATTGTACCAGCCCCAGATGATAGGTGAGGGTGATTGTGGAGCAATTGGTGGAATGAAGATTGGCAGGGGAAACCGAAGTACTCGGAGAAAACCTGCCACAGCGCCACTTTGTCCACCACAAATCCCACTTGACCAGACCCCGGGATCGAACCCGGGCCGCCGCAGTGGGAAGCCAGCGACTAACCGCTTGAGCTATGGCGCTGCCGCTTATAGCTTCCAGATAGATATGTTTAAGAGAACATTGTATTGCATCGTAGTTTTAGAACGCCGATCACAATGGCCGCGCTGTCTGAGGCTTGAACCATTTTCGTCCCTTCGAACACTGGGGGTCGTGGGTTCGAATCCGACTCGTGGCATGGATACCTGTGTGCGTTTATTCTGTTTGTGTTGTCCTGTGTGTAGGTAGCGGCCTTGCGACGAGGTGATCCCCCGTCCAAGGAGTTCTACCAACTGTATATATGATTAAGAAACTCTATACTCATCCAAGGTCTAAAGGGCTGTAGAGCCATAGAAAGAAAAAATAGTTTTAGAACAGATTTATCGCAAATAAACGTGTTGCATTTAATTTGCATATGCTCAGTATTCTAAGTAGATGAAGGTCTTAATGTAGTTAGGTTTCAAAATAAATTAATAGTTGTATTGGTCAAGTCAGGCAATATTCTTCATCACAGTTATTATCATCACTGTTACCGTCACCATCACCAACTTCGGCAAAATAACCTGTACGTTCTCATCCTATTTAATCTGATCTCCGTCTTTTTCTAAGCTTCCCCATTTCCCTTTCTGCATATAGGATATTGGTGGGAAAGCCAGAAGGAAAGAGACCACCGGGAAGACCAAGACGTAGGTGGGTGGACAGTATTAAAATGGATCTTAGAGAGATAGAATGGGATGCTATGGATTGTATTAGTCTGGCTCAGGATAGGGACCAGTGGAGGGCTCTTGTGAACATGCTCATGAGCCTTCGGGTTCCGTAAAATGCTCGTAAATTCTTGAGTAGCTGCAGAAGTGGCGGCTCCTGAAGAAGGGCTCAGCTGCATGAGTAAGTAAGTAAGTTGTTCTTATTGTGCTGTACATACACTTAGCACTGAATAAGGAGACAAGACAATATGAACAGATAAAATTTGATAATGCTATGACGGTACTTATTTTTACATATGGACCCAAAGTTTGGGCTACAAAGAAAATTGAAGCAATAACTGAAACTGGAGGAATGAAAATGTTGAGGAGTGTAACTGGCTACAGAAGGAAAGACCAATTAAGAAAAATTAAATTAGGGAAGAGCTAAAGATTTTAAATCGAAATAATGATGTTCTAATATCCATATCAAGGTGAAAATATAATGTTCTACTAATGGGAAATAGACGAATTAAAAAAAAATTAACATACAGCCCAATAAGACGGAACAGACCAGACGTGGCATAGTCTATGAAGATGGCGGTGTTTAAGAGATTTGTTGCCTAATGTTCAAAACATTATTTTCTGGTTTATTTGAGTAAAGGTTGCTCATACTTAATTTAAGCAAATTACGCCTGTTTAATATGTTCAAGTTGCACAGAACCATTACAGTAATCTATAGTTATCTAAGGATGAGGGTATGGTTAGGCAGTTTGTCTTGATCTTACACTCTATGAGGTCTGGTCGCAGGATGTTGTTAGACGGAAGATGGAAGCTTGATACTCATATCTCCGGTCATTGCTCAGTTGTATCGTGAGAAAAGATGAATAAAAAAGATATCGACAAAAAATCAGAAGCTACTATCTTCACACAGACTGGTGCATGAATACGCTGCCAGTGTTCTACCAATCAAATTTGCATTTTATAACTTACCTCAATGATTTTGGCATCATGAATAAAGAGAGAAATAAATAAATAGTTGAAAGTTGTCACGACAACTGTATCCAGTCCATAGATATTATGGCATTAGTAATGGTATAGAAAGTGCGAGTCGAATTATATATATATATATGTATTTTGCATCTTGTAAAAGAGTACAGTTTGTAGGAAACTTATTACAAACAACACAAAACGAGGTAAGTAACAGTATGACTATATACTTTGTGACACAGTTAACAATTTTTCAGACATGCAGAATGAGGCAGGTGTTACGTTCCACCACTTGATTTGTTCAAACCATTTTAGATATGTTTACATATCGATCATTATATTATAGTCTGCCATTAACATTGATGGTTTAGCCTTCCGTTATAATTAACGACAGCCTACAAAATGCCGAAGGAATGTAACTTCAAACGGAAGGCGTGTGAATAATCGTACATTCAGTAATTACTGTCTGAGTATCATAGTTTTACCTAATTAAAGCAGTTAGGCTCTCAGTTCTTAATCAAAAGCTTTCTGAACTGATTCACGTCTCTTTTTTTCGGGTACTTCAATTTTGTGGTTTTTAAGAGGCACTGTATCATCATTATCGTAATCTTCTACAAATGAGGTCTCTCTGTTCAAGATTTGGCAATTAAATGTACAATTTGGCTCCCATATCCAAGTGCAAGTTGATTTTTCAGTACAGAAATACAGTGAACCGGGACAGCCCATTTCAACCGGAACGCCATTGTCACATTCGTAATATGAACTGCAGTTGTCTGGGTTTGATAGCAGAGTGAGGTTTCCATCAACCTGTGGAGGACACACTGGTACAGCGGTTTCAATAGCTCTAACATCAACAGATGCAGGCTCTATATTCAGGATCTGACAGTTGAAGGTACAGTTAGGCTCCCATATCCAAGCGCAAGTCGATTTTTCAGTACAGAAATACAGTGAACCGGGGCAGCCCATTTCAACCGGAACGCCATTGTCACATTCGTAGTATGAACTGCAGTTGTCTGGGTTTGATAGCAGAGTGAGGTTTCCATCAACCTGTGGAGGACACACTGGTACAGCGGTTTCAATAGCTCTAACATCAACAGATGCAGGCTCTATATTCAGGATCTGACAGTTGAAGGTACAGTTAGGCTCCCATATCCAAGCGCAAGTCGATTTTTCAGTACAGAAATACAGTGAACCGGGGCAGCCCATTTCAACCGGAACGCCATTGTCACATTCGTAGTATGAACTGCAGTTGTCTGGGTTTGATAGCAGAGTGAGGTTTCCATCAACCTGTGGAGGACACACTGGTACAGCGGTTTCAATAGCTCTAACATCAACAGATGCAGGCTCTATATTCAGGATCTGACAGTTGAAGGTACAGTTAGGCTCCCATATCCAAGCGCAAGTCGATTTTTCAGTACAGAAATACAGTGAACCGGGGCAGCCCATTTCAACCGGAACGCCATTGTCACATTCGTAGTATGAACTGCAGTTGTCTGGGTTTGATAGCAGAGTGAGGTTTCCATCAACCTGTGGAGGACACACTGGTACAGCGGTTTCAATAGCTCTAACATCAACAGATGCAGGCTCTATATTCAGGATCTTACAGTTGAAGGTACAGTTAGGCTCCCATATCCAAGCGCAAGTCGATTTTTCAGTACAGAAATACAGTGAATCGGGGCAGCCCATTTCAACCGGAACGCCATTGTCACATTCGTAGTATGAACTGCAGTTGTCTGGGTTTGATATCAGAGTGAGGTTTCCATCAATCTGTGGAGGACACACAGGTGCAGCGGCTGGTACAGGCGTATCTTCATCAAGTGCATGTTTCTTTTTCACCATTTGGCAGTTGAAAGTACAGTTTTGCTCAAAGAACCAAGCACAGTATTCCTTCTCCGGACAGTAATAAAGATTTTCGGGGCAGTGATGTGTGAAGAGATAACCATCAGCACATTGGTAGAATTCGCTGCAGTTTTCTGGCTTAGGGAATAGTATTACTTCGCCATTGTCTTCTGATGGGCAAACTGGGAGATCGAACTGTTGATGGCCCCAGACCGTTTCTGTAGAGAACACCACCAAGAACGCCGCAACTGCCACCGCGTAGAAACCTGAATTCACAAACAACAACAAAGTAAAAATCATTCATTCTTTAAATTCATTGTACGGCACAAGAATATAATTCACTTCTAGTAGCTTACTTCGACGAGTTTGAGACGTCGACCAGTTAGACGTTACCGGATGCAAGGTTAAGGAAGCTAACTTACTGGATAAAGGATTCTGTAGGTTTGATAATTTTAAGGGATTTACTTTGAAGCTTGCGACGTGATATACGTTATTATTGTGGATACGCTGCGTACGTCACAGTAACTGTAAAATTTTCATCAATTATCAGACACAGCATTAATGATCTGTAAATTATAGGTAACTGATACTGTGTTATATTTGCAGTTATTTTAAGACTATTATGAGCACAACCTTCGTCATTATGTTGACAGGTGAGCACAAGAAGCATTTACCTCCGTCCGAGATTAGTTTCGTCACATAAAAAAATAAAGCTATCTCTGTAACAGGCCGTGGAGGCCCATGGGGTTGTGAGACGTCGAGGTTCCCACATTTTCTATAGACAATCGGCTCACAGATGGCGGCGAGGTTGTCAGGGTTACTCGCTGGCCGCTCTTTACCCCAAAGAAGATTCCTGGTACTCATTTCTGTTAGAAACTTAGTCGACCCCAGGGCCGTAGTGCGGCTGGAAGGATTAGGTAAAAAAAAAACGCAGTGGCCTTATCGGGAATCGAAACGGTGGCCTCGTTTCTTGTTTCATCATATTATCAATTGAGTGTTTTAAGGATTTGCAGTTCTATTTAACTTAAACCAGTCAAATATTTTATGTAACTTATGTAATATTTCCATTTAATATTGCATATTAATGTCGAAATACGTTGGGCTACAAGATTATTTGATCATTATGAATCGGATACGCTTGATGCCAATTATATATATATATCTTAATTAAATTTATGCATGTATTTTGAACACTGTAAATAATATGACGGAGTAATATTGTAATGCTTATAGCTGAAGGTTGCGTAATGACAGAAGGTGTTAAGTACCACGTGTTTTTTTAATTAAACCGAAAATCGTTGCCTACAAACAAAAAACTGAAAATATAAAACAGTTTATGCATTATATAATATATACGGTCTCGTAGGAAGAATCATGCAGACGCATTGGCGCCGGCACGGGGGGAAGACGGTGGAAACCAGATATCTCCCTCACCCTTGACTGTGTCTTCGGAAATAAATGAAAATTGATAGAAAATTAGGAACTGTATCCAACATTAAAAGTATATGAGAAATATTCTTCTATCCGGAAATATTAGTGATCTGGATGTGTTTCGGAACACTTATTTGTGTAGTGGTATGAACACAAGCTTGTAAGAACTGCGTCACAGTACGATAATTGTTGTAGAAATATTCTGAGATTCAGTATTATCTATATCGTAGCCAAGAATGGTTGTACTTGTAAAATTACACTTCATTCCTGAACTTCAATTTAGATCAATTTATTTTTAGTGTTTTTCGACAACAGGATTTTTAGAAATACGTATGTGCAAAATGTATCTGCAAATGGAAATAAAAAGCAATTTGAATGGTTTCTTTCACTTAAGATTCCCCTGCATTTGCAGAACATTAGAATATATTTGCAAGTATAACATTTTTAATAAGCGTGTTGAACGTCTGCATTTTTAGACTAGGTCTCAAGTCCTTCGAAGATTTATTAAGTTCGTTCAGTCAGTCCGTGCCATGAAACAATTTCAGAAACTTTGTTCGGATTTTCATGGAATTTGAGCTAGAGAATTTTACAAAAGTTTGCCGAGACATTTCAGTTTTTATTTATTTTGGATAAATATAATGATGATTTTACACGGGGACCTACATTCATTTTTGCTCGCATGTCATAAAATATTTTCGGAGAGAAATGTGTTTCAAACGAACGCTGTGGAGAGAAATGAAACGAATATTTTATAAGAAAAAAATATCGTTTTCTGGGATGTGGCGCCATGTAGATATTGTGTAAACCAACATTTCGGAGAAACTTATCGCCTCCATTTTCAGGGTATAAAAATTCCGCGAGCTAGGAATCAGCGTGAGCAGGTGACGGATTTTTATACCCTGTAGATAGAGGTGATACCTTCCCCCGAAACGTCAGTTTACACAATATTGACACGGCGCCGTATCCCAGAAGACGGCATTCTTCATAGTCACCGCCGTGAAAACCTCAAATCTTACATAGAATATTTTATATCTTCGCACTTTCTTCGCAAGTCTTAATTGTTATCGGAATAATTAAACAGAAGTGATGTTATAGCCGCATTTTCGAAGTTTCATAATCAGCAATGAACCGTGGCTTCCTGAGCACAATACCAATAAACAGATAGACAATACCGAAAGAAAATCTTCAGATATTCAGGGTTGAAGTGTGAAGACTTAGGCATCAGGTACCTCTGCAATGTCGGCGTCCCCCTACAAGAGTCTGCATCGTCAAAACCCAGAAGTTCACAATCTGAACAATCGTCGCTTTGAAAACCTCAAAATTTATTAAATAAAATCCGCACTGACTTTAGATTGCGTTAAAATCCCTTCTATTTTGTTCTGTCAATGAGGCGCTCTCTTGCAATATGACTTTGAAGATTTATTAAATAATATGTGTGTACATATATGTGTATATGCACATAAAATTTTAGTTTATATTGTGTAAGGTAAGGTAAAGTTGTCCCTGTGATTAACTAATTAAGCACTACGCCATGGAGGCGTATGGGGGAGTGGATGTATAGATCCATATTTTCTTCACCTCGGCACTAGCTGGAGGTGAGTGGTCAGCTTTACGCCTCGGCCACTTTACCCCCGGGGAAAGAGCCCCCGGTACCCATTTGCTAGGAGGTTGGGTGAACCCCAGAGCCGGTTCGGATGACGTGGAGAAGAGAAAATTCTTGACCCTACCAGGACTCGAACTCCGATTCTTCAGTCTTCGAGCCCGTAGCCAGCCCTAATATTGATTGTTTGTTCATACAGTATGCTTATAAAGATTTTGTTTATCGCCGTTATATCACAACCTAACGTGAACAGTTGCATATGAATTTATTGCATGTTCAGTGTAAGTATTCATGCTATTCTTAATTATATCATTTATAATTCCTTCTGCTGAACGTTTACGAATTAAGTGGAGGATGTGTACTTATACAATCTTGTGAATATTAGAGGGCAATCGTCGGGAAACGACGGAGTATAAATGGCTATCATTAATATTCATTGACTTAAGTGTTTGTTTGTGAATACATAATAACAGTTCCGGTGATCAAGGGAATTTAAATCTTATATTGAAGTTAATTTACCGTTCGAAAATGAGAAAAGTATGAATAAGGGATTACCCTGCTCGCTACCGGTGTTCCCCCTTTCAACGTTTGAACTAATTTATCGACTTTCATGAAACTCAGTGCGCATGTTACGCCAGCGGAGATCACTCGAACTCAGTAGTAGTTAGTTTCGCACGGTCGGTAATGAAAACATAGTAGACACACGTGCAATGGCAGCGACACTAGTGTGAAAATTTTTAGGTACGGAAATAACGTATGGCACAGGTACATTGCATGCAGTACATGAATATGTTTTAATCTTTTGTTTCATGACGATAACTAATGAATCACTGAATAGCCGAACGTGAAATATTGACCGAAGATATATCATACACACACCTCCAAAATATTATTTATAATTCAACGTGGTGCTGATGCAAATCTTTGATTGCAAAAGGTAAATTTGTCCCTGTGCTTAACTAATTAAACACTACGTCATGAAGGTGTATGGGGGAGTGGATGTATAGATCCACATTTTTCTTTACTAGTTGGAGGTGAGTGGTCAGATTCACGCCATATCCGAAAAATGTAACATAGATAGAATTTTCTAAAATGTTCTCGGGGGATCATCCATGTCAATATTTGGGTAAAAACCAGCGTTCCAGAAACCTCCCCGGGCTCATCATCAGTGTCTGTGTCACTTCAACATTAGTTCAACATTGACATTTATTCTTGTCTGGGCGATGTTTATATTTAACTATTATTTTATATGTATGATTCTTTAAAGTGTTCTTTAAAATTTATTGTATAATCATTATTCAATTGTAATCCGAAGATTGTTACACTGTAATTCAGATGTAAATTTTAACAAAACCTGTCTGATAAACAAATTTATAGCCCTAATAAAATAACAAATATTGGAATTTAGGTTGTAATACATTTGTATAAACTAATAATAATAATACAACATAATTATTAAGTACAAAATTATGTAATTAGTCTATAATAGGTCTATAATTTGAATGTTCAACACCGGTATCACAAAAACATTTCCTATTTTTTCATTTGATTAATAAGTTATTCCAACTTCCTCGATTTAAGCAGAGACAAGTTAAACGAGTCAGTTCTCACCACAAAATGGCGCGATCTCTGGTTGTGGATGAAGGAAATAGCCTTCATCTGTCGAGGTTAGGTGTGAATATGTTCAGTAGAAAACTGCAGACAGCCGGCAAGGGACTGGCCTCCAGTTTACAGACTTGGACTCGTAAAATATTTTGTGCTTGAAAACTTTCGCAAAGAGGACACCGAGCAGATATGGAAAGATTACATTGAGATGCATCGTAGAGATGGAGGTTGAACATACGAGAGACCGAAGGAACTGGCTCGGAATCCAGTATATTATCAGACCTTTGTGAACGCGGTGATGAACCTTCGGGGGGTTCGCATAAATTTCAGGAATTTTTTGAATGTATGGGCTCTTATCAGATTCTCATAAAGACTAGGCACCGTGGAGCTATTTTAACCACTGATTCCGGAATTTCATCTTAATTACACTTAAATTTCAGGTCATACTTTACCGAAATAAAATGCGTCTTCATTACAAATACCCGTCAGCTAATGCTGCACAGGGTCGCTGTTTACTCCGAGAATAGTGGGTAACGCGTAAATATATTCTTCGGGCAAAATGCAATCCGACGCGGGAGCTTTCCACCGAAATTGATATTTTCAGTCGGGATTACTGGGTTTTAGGATTTTATCCAACATCTTGTATTCTAAAAAAAAAAACACAGCGTTTCGGAAACTGGATCCATTTCCGTCCTCAGATGAAGGGGTAGGGGACATCTACTCTACAGGGTCAACTTATATTAGTATAAATACAACTACATGTATAAACACCTGAGGTTAACACGTGTCAGTGGGAGACAATCAGCAAAGCTTTGTAGTGTATCCCAGTTTGCGTAAGGCTATAAATGAATTTCGTAATTTGTCCCAGAAACCCTTTCACAGATTCTGCTAAAATTCGATGTGGGAAAGTGACACTTATTTATATTTCATTATTATAATTTTTAAATACGTCTAATGTAACAGTAGCCAAGCGGTCTGAGACATATACTGTCTTCGCCCGCTCGTAAGCCGTGATCGTGTGTTCGAATTCCACACAAGTCATGGATCTTTGGAAAGTGTCCGTGTTGTTCTGTGTTTCGGTAGAGTCCTTGCGACGAGCTGAACATTCGTCCAAGGAGTCCTACCGTCTGTAAAATGATCATGTAACTGAAAATCAGAGGCCAGGGCCCAAGGGGGCTGTAGAGCCATTAAGAAATACGCTTAATAGAATTTTAAGAACATCGTTGTTAATTTTGTGGACTACAGTATGGCGTAGACACTTCTCAGTCTTGTTTGATGTAAAAGGAAGTGATACATTTAGTACGCCTGAGGATGACCCAGGTAAGGATCGAAACATGTAGTGAAGTCATTAACAGCAAAAAGCAGATGCTGACACGAAAGTGTCTCTCTTGATTATTTCCTAAATCTATTGTTGTGTACTGTCTCAAAATCAGATCCTTTTAGTTTGACTTATAGTTACCACTGTTCTTCTAATTCTTAAGTGACATTAAGCCTGACAGAATTGTTGCAAACTTTGAGAAAACTGGTGAATCGTTAGGCCACTAAAAGCAAGAACCGCCTTTGCTGAGACTTACCTTTCATGTCTAGTGTAATTAGCGGGTCCCCTTGGTCTCACACAGGTGAAGTGATGATGTCTCTTAGCGACAGGGATATTTAAAGGTGAGACATAGGTGGAGTGCTCTGACAGCTGATGATAAGATGCGTAATCATAAATTTATCTGGACTGATCTCATTAGTGTCTTTCAGGCATTGCGTAACAGGATTCAGAAGTATCTAGCGTATTCGTGTAGATAGCAGGAAGGGGCGCAGATAAAGAATGCTTGAAGTTTTATGTCCTTGAGGGAAACCACGAATAACATCAATTCGCAGATCGACAGGGCCTCATGCGTTAGCGACAGATGGCGCCAAGGAAGGCTCAGTTCGGGGAATGCTTCTTGTCACTGCGTTCACCTTCCCGTCGCGTTCTGCGACAACGCCTCTGCTTCGTATTTTAGAAATTCCGGCAGGCACACCGACTCTCTTGACTGGTGTTTTCAATGGGTTTCCTCTGTCCTTCCAGGAAAAGGTGAGGTAGTATTTCGAACTCGACCACGACGGCTTTCCGCCATAGTTTTTTCAATTCACTGATCATCCTATTAAGCAGCTTGGCGTGGCGGTAACACTAGGCTAGTATTATTGAGGTGCTCAGTTCGAATCTCGGCCTTGACACCATCTATCCTAACCGAGGTTTCTCGTGGTTTTCCATAGTCCCTCCAGGCAAATGCAGTGTTAGTACCTCGATTAGATAATTATCCCTTCCTTCAAAATCCTTTCCATTTCATTAGTCATCCTACTATTCGACGCCATATAATATTAGTTACTAACAGCGTTGCTGAACAAACCCCAAACAGTTACTATAGGATTCTGACGATGGTGTGTAACACACTGATATATTGGGTTTTTGGACTTTATCCATCGTCCTGGTTTTAAAGATAACTAAGAAAAACACGACGTTTCGGAAACTGGATCTGTTTCCGTCCTCAGGTGAGGGAAAACACCTATTCTGTTGTGTCCCTTAGAAAGAGCTAGCCTCAATCACTGGACAACCGATGTCACAAAACACAAAGGTTATAAACACCTGAGATCAGGCTAAGTCCCAAACAAACACGTGAATGAATGAATGAATGAATGAATAAGTGAAGAACGGAACGATTGAGGTGTGCGAAAGCATAGGCCTGCTGTTACGTATTGTTTTATACGGATGTGAAAAACCGGTCTGTAAAGGGAACACATGCATTGAGGGTGCTTAAGAACAACGTGATGAACGTAATGCTG